TTTCAAAATTATTAAACTTCTCAAGAGTGAAAATATGTGAATATATATGAATCATTTAAAAATTTATCAATTACAAAATAAATTTTATATTCAGTAATATGGAATAAACATTTTCATTTTGTCCCTTCACTAAATTAAAATCTAATAACTATATGAAAAAATAGTAACATTAATTAAAAGTCCTATTTATTTATGTAAGTATAAAATTTATTAGAAATACATCTATTGCACATTAATCCTTTAGTTATAACATTATAAATTCTCTTAGTTATTACTAATTATTGCAAACGTTATTCACACTCTTTAACATTCTTTAGTTATAATATTATGAATTCTCATAGTTATTACATTAATTATTTCTATCTTTCATCTTTTCTTGTATTAACTTTTGACCAATCGTCTATAAGGTAATATTACTGAGATACGACTAATTACATGATTGACCTCATCAAATTGAAATAAATATATGCATTATTGCATTTAACAAATAAAAATTTTCATTGACCATCTTCATAGATTCGCGTGAATAAGAGATATATATACAATCCTCATTGAACATTTACAAAATAATCTGCAATATTATTTTGTGCAAAGCTTATTATTCAAATCATCACTTAAATAAGCAATACTATTTACTATAACATATATTTTCTAAATTGATAATCACATGCAGCGCACGTGTCGAAAAACTAGTATATATATATGAGCATGTATTTTTTTATATAAAAAAAAAACTAATAGAGTACATCAATAAACTAATATTAAATTTATAAGTTTCTGATTTAGTGGGTGTTTGGATTGGCTTATTTTTAGTAGCTTTGGATTTTTAAGCTATTTTTGGGTTTCGGAAGTATTTGTATAACACAAAAAGTTTAAGCACTTTTTTAATGCTGAAAAGGTAAAAAAAAAAAAAAAAAGAGGCAAAAGTCAAAATTTGGGTATTCCCGACTTATAACTTTTGACTTTTAACCTATAAGTAACCTTAAAAAAGGTCAATCCAAGCACCCCGTAAAATCGTCCTCCATACTTTTTATATGTTTTGAAAATATGTGTGAACCATATAATGCAATATAATTTTTTTTATTAAAAGTATTTTGGAGTAAACGTGAAACTAATATTGTAATTGAATGTGTCTTGGAGAAAGTAAGGACAAGGTGGGGATAGGCTTAGCCAGTCAGTCTGTGTTTGTGGAAGCTAAGCTCTCAAACTCTCACTTTGTTATTTCTTCTTTTCTTCTTCTTGTTTGTGTTGTTGTTTTTGGTGGTTAAGATTGAATGGCTGCTGCTGCTGTTTTATCTCTTTCTCTACCTAAGCTTAATGTAATTAAAGCTTCTTCAGGCAGTAGTACTACTTTTGCTCCAGAGAGTCTTGAAGAGAAATTTGGTCGTAAAGGCATCAAGTTTTCAGATGGAGGAACAGTTGAGCTTACTGTTAGAAATGGAAGTTCAGTGAAGCTACAAATACCAAATGCACATATCACTTCTTACAAGCCTAAAGTTTATTGGAAAGATGATGGCTTTGAGGAAGTTCTTTACACTCTTCCTAATTCCAGAGGTGGCATTGCTTTGGTAATCAATGAAATCTTGGAGCCTAATCCTAAACTGCCCGTCCCGAAGACAACAACACCTTCTGATCAATGGACTCTCACAGATGTTGATTCTGACTCTATTGATGCTCTACAGGTAAGCATCTATGTTGCTCGGACTCTTCAAAAATGTGTATACATGACTAAATAGACAATTTCTTGATCCTTCAAATAGATTTCAATTGCAACAGTATAGGTCATTCTTGATTTTCTTGCCCTTTGCCTCAAAAGGGAATAATTACTCCTACCACTGTTATGGGCAGGTTGAATTGAGCTGCAGCCGAGGGAGTCTAGATATTAACTATGTGGTGTCACTCTATCCATTGAGTATGGCAACAGCAGTTATAGTGAAGAACAATGGCCGAAAGCCTGTCAAGTTAACGACAGCTATACTAAGCCATTTGATGTCTAAGACAAGAAAGGGAACAGGAATACAAGGACTCCGGAGCTGTACTTATTGCACACATCCTCCGTTGTCTTCTTCCTTTGAAATTTTATCTCCAGGGGAAGCTATGAAAACTGAGGAACCCGGTATGTTCTCTTTTGGTTGGGAACCAGAGAAGAAGCCCGGCATATGGTCTACTCAAGATGTGCCCATTACTGTCCTCAAGCACAAACTCAGTAGACTTTACAGTGTCCCACCACAAGAAAAAGCAAAGGATTTTTATAATTCAATACCTTCAAAATACGAAACAATCGATCAGGTATCACATTCAAAACAAACACTCTCCCCTAACTACATACAAGTAATACTTGTTTTATAACTCACAGTTTAGTGTTCCTTTAGCATCTTAAGAACAAATTTGTCACAACTTTAATTGTCTGTCTTAAGAGAGCATAAAGTTCAGAAAAGCTATCTTTAGAAACAGCAGAAAACTTAATGTTTTGTTTCGTTTCATTTCCAGGGTCGTGAGCTCTTCTTCAGGATAATACGTATGGGCTTTGAAGATATTTACGTATCGAGTCCAGGTTCATTTTCAGAAAAGTATGGGAAGGATTACTTTATCTGCACAGGCCCTGCTTCAATGTTGGTTCCTCTTGTTGTGAATCCTGGTGAAGAGTGGAGAGGAGCACAAGTTATTGAGCATGATAATTTATGATTGTCCTCTAGAACTTCAGAACTGGAGTAACAATTTTTTTAAATGTATATCTTTATTTTACAAGCTTTCTGTACCTCCTGAATTTATTCATCAAGAAACAGCAATGCCAAATGTACTTGGTTATTCCTTTTTTTTTTACTGTTTATACTCCACCGGAAGAGTAATTGTAGTCATCAATCTGAGAATTCCAAAATACAAATGGATTTAGTGAATACTTGTTTCTCCGTTTTTCTCTTCGCATCCAAGCAAATTCAGTGAGTTGAGCTAGAGATATGTTCTTTCAACTACATGGGCTAAATAATAAGGTTAGACATGTTAATAGAATCCACATGTTACACCCTGAAAAAGAGAGTATTGAGTAGGTACCACCACCCAAAATATCATAACAAGATATGTCAAAATACACACAAACAAAAAAGGGAGCATAATCCACAAGCCCTTTCAACCATTAGGTCATAGCCAACCAAAAGTTATCCAAATACAAGTTAAGAAATATCATATCATGCAACAAATATAACAGAACTTAGTCATCTTGGCATACCATCTGGTGCACTCTATTCTTTCTTCTTCTGTTTGGCATGGCTGCCATTAACACTTGTCTCCTCTCTCCAAATGTAATTTCCGGTTCTCCAATTTCTAGATCCCCTAGCAAAAGCATATCCACATTTTCTACTCCTCCTCTCTGCAGTCCCCTCCACTACAGTTGCTTAACAAGAAATATTCAATTGCCAGGGGTAGCTTCAATATCATACCCACCCATTGACACGGAATACTTGGAAAGTGAGTTCAGTGGACATGGAGTCACCTTCACAGAGGTTAATGAGAGTTGTGTTGTCCGCATGGCGTTGGAGAATGGAAGTATAGCTAACTTGATGCTTCCAAGTGGTTTGATCACATCATACAAAGCTCAAATGTGGCATGGAGGCACAATGGAGTTGCTGCATACCACTGTCTCAGAAGGACAGAATGGTTCACCAGTCATTGAAGGAGGAGTTTCACTAGCCTGCAATTGCGAGAACGATGAAGGTTTTTCATGGTCACCAAGTTCTTGGGCTCTTCATCAAGTTAAAGGAGATCCTCAAGGATCTATTCAGGTGCTTTTTGTACTTACTATTTATTTATGAATTATGGTTTACAAGTGCCTAGTATATTGTTGAATTAGATATTTAGACTTGTTGGAGGTGCAGGTGGAATTGATTTGCACAAGTTCAGATGGAAAGATTGAAGCTAAGTATATGGTTACTCTGCAAGAAGATCTTTTAACTTCAGAGATTAAAATCTTTAATTTAGGTATGGCAAGCTTCCGGATGACGGGTTCAGTTCTTAGCCATCTGACAGTAAGCACACCAGAAGCCAGTTATGCTGTGGGACTGCAAGGCTCAGATTTCTTCAGCAACCCTCCATTCTTCGCTAACTTCAGCATTATTCCACCCGCCTTTGGGAAGACGAAAAATCAGCCTTCTAAGAAATCTTTTGGGGAAATATTCTCAAGCTGGGGTACAAAAATTCAAAACCCAGAGAAAATTGCAGAAAAAGAGTTGGAGGGTGAAGAAACAGACAACTACAAGCATTTGACTGATGAAATGAGCAAAATTTATAAAAGTGCACCTAGGAACTTCACACTCATCGATCGGGTAAGCTATCGTCATGAAATGAATAAGTATTAAGCAATTTCTGAATTCTAGCTGCTAATTGATCTTGACATGTTGATAACTATTCATGATCAGGGAAGACGAAACTCAGTGGTAGTAGGACGGGACGGGTTCAAAGAAGTGTACTTGCTGAGTCCTGGCTCAAGACATGAAAGTTATGGCAGATACTCATACATATGTGTTGGGCAAGCTGCTTTACTTCAACCAATAATCATAGAATCTCAGAGTGAATGGAGAGGTAAACAAAGTTTGCATAACCCAAATATGTGAAGTTTTGAACCAGCAATTAGCAAAGCAAGCCGATCAACTTGTTTTCACACAGAATAGAGTTTCTCATAGCAAATCAAGAGATGGCAACATCATTACAACACAGAAACCATTAATCAAGCAGATACACTTGATTTAACTTTGAAAGTGAGGTCTGATGTAGATATTAAGCTATAAATACTGTTTGGTTGCTTTAAAACATAGGTCTGTTTGTCCTGTTGCCCATGTTTTCCCCAATTAACTCAAGTAAAGCTTACAAATATTTATTTTATTCATCTGCTCGTGGAATCGATTTACTCAACAAGCTATAGACAGCAAATTATTTTAAATGGACAATTAAACAGATGTGTAGAACAAAGGCTATTGACGGTGCATGAAAAAGCAATATCTTTTTCAAAAAAGAAAAACTTCAATTGACATCCAAATAATCAATTCTGATGATAGGATACTAGTTCTGTAGCAAAGTAGATTAATCCTCAATGAGCAATGAGAAAATTAAGATACTGAAGGTCCTATTTAGTACCCACTATCTAAGAGTGGGATCTATTATAGAAGACCAACTACATATTTTAGGTGGGAACAAGGTTGAAGCTTTGGTCTTGATTGCCTATCCACAACGAAAGTACGAATGCTGCCAAAAGTACAGCTAAGATACCAAAAATCAATATGCGAGCAGAAGCATCGCCTTTTTGGGGAATGACTCCCTGAAATTCTGTTCCATTATGGGCAACATCATTTGAAGATACTTGCACATCTCCATTAGCTTGAGCATCTTCTGTTGAAGATACTGATTCGGAGTTCAGATGGTAGTGTTTCTCATCATTAGATGTTGCCCCTTCTCTATACTCACGCCTTTCACGATGGAAGAGGCCATTAACTTCAGACTTTTCTGGACTTCCTTCACACCTGCACAGGGATGGACTCCTAAACCTTCTGGTTTTCCTCTCAGAAATGTCTGAGCTCCCATCATTGGCATCCTGAAGGAGATGAATAAGTTTTCTTGGTGTTGCAAAGATCTTCACACTTTCGACATTAACATGAGAGCGTGACCTCTGAAGCACAAAAAGAGAAATGTCAACCATGCTAGGGCACCCATTAAATAGATATTAAATAGTACACCATACTAGAAGCACATAAATTCAATGTGTCAAGGATTTTACTTATCTGTTCCATTTATATTTTGAAATACCGAAAGTTATGTTATTTAACTTAAAACAATTACAGAATTTCTCTGTGCACATCCCAGAGAAATCATATGCACAGAGTTTTTACTTCAAAGAATGGCATTGCTATTTAGTTAGTTTTGTGGCAGATGAACTAGAGGGAACCATCAATTTTGTTTATTTCTTTAATCCTCTTTGCAACTCAAATAACCAAGTTGTATCTTCTGTTCATCAATAATAACACAAGGAACTTTTTTAGCTCCAAAAGACTCCATGCTGTCTGTTGTTCCAACAAAAATCTACTAAGATTTGATTTTGACTTTAGAAATAGTAAAGCAATTTAAACTTCCAACACTATAAACTGAGCAAAGAACAAACTACACTCAATAACATGTTTTACCTGTGGACTTGGAGTAGCACTTCTGACAAAACCATTTCGGGCAGATCTTGGCAAAAATCCAGCAAATTCAGCAGTGTTATCTCCGGTACCATTATGAACCTCATTGTGCTCAGAGTTTATGACATCATTTCCATGTGTGAATTCGGAGAAGATGCCATCCTTTAGAGAGACATCAACACCGCCATTTGCACTCTTCTTCCAAAGTTTTCGGTTCACACTCCTATCATTACCCAAAACATAAGGGCCCTGATTGATTGAAACAGGGGAGTCCATAAATGGTTCATAGTCAACAAACGAATTAATTGTGCGTGATTCTGGTGATGCAGATAAAGATGATTGGTCACCAGATCCCCACAGATTTCTCCTCATGTTCCCTCTACTGTCAAAGTTGGATCCAGTCATTGAATCTACATCTCTCTCAAATTTAGAACCCTTCTCAGAGCATATTCTCTTTGCAGTCTGTAATGCTTCAAATGCAGCCCCTCTAACATAAAGCATCTTGTCAGATTGACATTTTTCCATCTCCTCCATAACCATTCTGAGCTCAGAATGTATGCTTCTTTGATCCAAATACTTCATCAAAGAGTTGACCATATGAATGGCGGACAATCTTTTTTGAGAATTCCCTTCTCCACTGCTACTACTTAAAATTTGTAATCCAGACTGTATCAACAATCTTGCATAAGCTTCCATGATTAAGCTATTGTGTTTGGCTAATGAAGTGACTAGAGCCATATGAGAATTAGTTTGTGTATGCTTCTCCAAAGCCCCGGCAACTCTTTGACAAACCTCATGAACCATCTCATTTGAGGCAACCCGCCAGTTATCAGAATCCACCAGAGCCTTTAGGCAGAGAGCAGCTCCAGAAGATAAACTCTCCTGTCTCCCAGAAGACAATCTGAAAGGGGCTTTGAGAGGGAGTGTATAATGTATCTTTTCTTTTCCTCTGGTGTCGTTGGGTCCATACTGTACCTCGCAATGGCTGGAACAACTTTTGAACAAGCTTGGTGAAGGGCAAAAGATCCAGCACTGGATGTCAGGGTCTTGATAATAGTGCTCATGATGTTATCAATCTGAGGAACAATTTTAGGTCCATGTACACGAGCAAGTACCTCATAGAGTGAAATTGTGTATTCTCCTGATGATGCATTGGATTCTTTGGTTTCAGAAACCTGAGCAAGAAAGAGAGGGATTGCCTTGGAATCCAGCTCTTTCACATATGACTTCAATGCTTTCATTGCGCATTTTCTACTCTCAGCATCCTTATCCAAATTCTCCAGCTCTCTTCTAAGTATTGGGCTCAAACTCCTCCCCATTACTACCACTTACCTACAACCAATTAACATGTTAGACAGCAAAACCAAACAAATAAAGATCTACATTAAAAAAAAATTCCTTCATTTTGGGTATTACACCATGTATTATCTTCAATTAGTACTGAGAAATATGAATCAGAACTTATTCCACCAAATCTTAAGACACTTTTAACAAACTGAAACTTCAATATATAGCCAAAACAACAAGATACTCAATGTGATCCCACAAGAAGGGTTAGGGAGGGTGTAAAATGCACTCAGACCTTAACCCCACCTGTGCCGCAATTTAATACAACAAACTTTACAAGAAATCCAAATATTAACAGATGGGTGTATCCAATTCTTATCAAGATTCGCTTTTCAGAAGAAAAAAAAAAGAAATTGGACAACAAGGTAAAGTTGAATTGCAGTGTTTAATCAAATATTTAATCAATATACTCAAATAAAAACTTGCCATTTCAAAGCAATTAAGGAACAACTGCAGTGTTCTTAAAAGTAAGAGATAAGCAGTGAGAGGATATGGTGCAAATTGAAGTAGGCCCATTTTGGGCAAAGTTTCTAAGAAGAAGAAACAATAACGAGTGCCTCAACATTTCCAAGAAACCCAGATATTATATACATTCCCAACCAAATTAGCACCTTCTTACCCCCAAAAAACACAAAATGACAAGTAAGATAAGAAACACAAACTTGCAAGTTACAGTGAAAAAGGAGATTACAGATGATTCAATGTTAGCCCAAATTGGAAGATAACCAACAAAAATGATACCTTCTCTTTAGTCAAAGATGAGTCCCTTTCAGATTGTTAGAACAGCAACAACAATTGCACATCAAAATCACAAGATTTCTTCTAAAGCAAAAAGAGTTGCCAAGTATGAACAGATAAATTTAGAGAGAGAGAGAGAGAGAGAGAGAGGGGATCGCTAAAGAAAGTAAGTAGGTGTTCGAATTTGCTCTGCGATTATGGTGGTCTGCTGTCTGATTTGTTTACCTATTTTGAGTGAAGGGTACCCATACATTTTGAATCTTTCTTCTTAATTCCCCCGCCTCTTCTAATTCAAATTTCAATATCCTAATCCTCCCTTTACGAATCATTTCGCAGCTGATTTATTATTTATACATATATTAGTTATTACATTTCCTATTATGTATATTTTTATTCCTTTCTAACTTATAGTTATGTGGATTTCTAAATTGTCGATCAAACGCCATATTAATTTTAGGGAAAATGGTTAAAAATGTCCTTAACGTATCACAAATGGTTCAAAAATGTCCTCCATCCACCTTTTGATTTAAAAATGCCCTCAACGTTTTTTAAGGTTTAAAATTGCCCTTTTTTAACATCCAGCTGACATGGCAAATGTGATATGAATTTTCTTTACCCATTTCAAAATATATGACCCACTTATTCTAAAAAACCCATTTCGAAAAATCTGACCCAATAGGCTAATCGTTTTTGGGTCTTTAATTCCAATTAGCTCTAGTTCTCTTCTTTCTTCTCCTTCAATTCATTGGTTCTCCATTCTCTAGTTAATTGTAGAGCATGAGCTTAGGATGCAGAGAAAATTTTCGAACTTCACAGTATGTCTATCCAAACTAAAGATGATTTTTGTCTTCTTTCATTGGAATATGTGTACTAGAATCTGGATTTTCACTTTCTTGCCATATTCTTTGTTATTTGATTTTAGCATATAATTTATTTCTTGTCACTTTTCAGGACAATTCGGAACAGTGCTATAATGAATTTTTTTCAATGTCGACATGTTAATTCTGAGGATGCTCGCAATTCTATGCATTTTTCGTCATTAAATTTTTGGGTTGTTCTTGCTTATGATCCATTTCTTTCACCATTTATTGCATTAGAACTCCATTTATTTCAATGACACAGTTATTTAAACAATTTTTCGACAATCAACTAAAATTACAATATATATATATATGTGTGTGTGTGTAATACACTTGTTGATGACATGGCATGATAACTAATTAGACGAGAACATGTGGCATTTGGCTGTAAAATAATAATTTTAAAATAAATTATGCAAAACCACCTAATTTTCAACAAAAATAAATAAATAAAAATTACCTATTTTCTACCACCCCACCTTACATCACCTCACCCCCCTCCCCCTCAACCTTACTTTCCGTCCCTTTTGTCATCGAGTTCGTTACTTATTTGAGTCATAGAGATATAAAATTGACTCAAATAAGCCACTGTTTTAGAATGTAACTAAAATAGGCTTAGTGTAGTTTTTCTTCCGCTTATCAAAAAATATCAACCGAATTTACAAAACGGAACTTTTTCTTAATGTCTAAATTTTAACATAAAACATAATTTTTTTCCTACACTTTACAAAACGGAACTTTTTCTTCCACTTTATAAAGTTCAAGTTTTTCTTACACTTTATAAAGTGAAATTTTAATTCGATTTTATAAAAAGGAATTTTTTTTTCTATTTTACATTAAATTGTGTCTCTATACCCGTTTGGCCATAGATTTCCCAAGTAATATTTGGGGGGAAATTGGCAAATAATGTTTGTCCATACAATTTGCCATTATTTGGCAAATATTTTTGGCAAATATCCCAAATTCCCAAATACTAGTTTTTTCCTGTATTTGAGCCAAATCTCATTATTTGGGATCTTCTAAAAATTAAAATTTTACACCAAACTTTTATTTTTTACAAAAACACCTTCTATAGTAGTTGTTTGCGTTGTATTACATAATTTTTTACGTGAACACCAAAGTAGTGATGAAATATTCAGTGAATATGAAAGTGATGATATGGTTGTTAATGAAAATGATGAGCAATCGGCTCAGGGTAACAAAGTCATGTGTTTTGTCTACTTCACGATGTATGGAATGATGCTTGTTGCACTCACTCCAAACTACCACATTGCTCCAGTGTCATGGACACCACTTGTTATTTGTTGCAACGAAGATCTAATTGACTTGTAATACAAACTAATGGTTAGTTTTGATAGTTTTTAAAACTTATGAGTATAAATTATATTTTTCTAAAAAAAGTGAAATATGTTTCCCAAATACTATGGCCAAACACTGTCACGACCCAGGGGTATCCCCTAGATGTAACAAGGCGTACTCAACCTTGAAGGGTCTCATACAAGCCCCTTAGCATATCATAAGATAAGATAATAGAAATGAGCAGAAATTTTAAAACATTTTCCATACAATCGAAGTCTTTTATAAAAGCAAAGCGGAAGTCTATTACATTTGTCTCAAACCATCTAATACATGAAAATCTTTGGGACGCAGCCCATACAAAAGTCTAAAATATAAAAAAAAAGACATAAAGGAAAGGTGATCAAATCCTCGATGCTATGAGGACTCACCCAATCTTCAACTCCTCGCTCTACTAGGAACCTAACCACGGGAATGAAACTCAATATCGCCAGACCCTACATTTGATAAGAATGTAGGCAAAAGTATGCATTAGTACAAAATGTACTAAATATGATAGCTATCATGACATCATAAGATCATAACAAAAGTGTTAGCCAACATAAGACATAAGCCATAAGCATAAGAGACAATAACATAATCATAGGCATAATCTCCAACATAAACATAATATAAGCATTAGTCATCATAAGGCATAGTCCATATACATAGTCAATACTTAGACCTTCATATCACAAAAGAACCGCTTCATAAGTAACCTCCAAGTATACTTGTGCAATGCATGGATAAGACCCCATAATCCCATCCATGCTAAGTATCCCCTTTGGCCATCATAATCATACTTACCATCTTATGGTCTCATCCTTAGCTTAATTCTCATAGACAAGGGAATCTTCACCTTTAGTCAAACATAGCATGGAAGGTAACTATAGCAACAATCCAAACTAAGCATACATCATATAAGAGAAACACTTCATAAGTAACTTCAAGTCATACTTGTGCAATGCATAGATAAGACCTCATAATCTCACCCACACTAAGTACCACTTTAGGTCATCATAATCATACTTCTTGGATGGGGACTAGTCCCTCTTTAGCTATATCTCACTATACATGGAAAAGTATTTCTTGACTAATCCCTTACATACATTACTCATGAATAGTTACAAGTTACCAATTCAAGGCTATCAAGGAATATCACTATACTACACTAGACCAAGCTACGATGGAAAACATATTATCATGCAAGTCCAAGCTACACAAGGAAAACACTACATTATGCTAGACCTAGCTATCATGGAAAACATACTAACATGCAAGTCCAAGCTACACAAGTAAGGGTACGATTTCTTAATCCAAGCTATCAATGAAATGGTTTGGCCTAACCAAGTCATGCTACCATGCAAGCACTCTATGATGCTAGTTCAAGCTACATTGGAATGGTACTATTGCTCAATCCAAGGCTACCATGAGAACTCCTAACTCAAGCTACCAAGCATGGTCTTGTCTTACCAAGTCAAGCTATTCATGAAGGGATCTTATGTCACAACTTCAAGTTATCCTAGTCTAACATATTTGATTCATTTGAGGTGAGCAAACCTTTCAACCTAGAATAATTCAATGTGAGAAAGTCTTTCACATTCATACATTCATATATTCATAAGGTAGATTATGTGGGTAAAGTCCTTCCACAACAATTCTAGCTAGTAGTCTACCATTGTCATATAAGCTTCACTCTTAAAGCCTTAACAGACATAATTCATCATATTGGCTTTACTTTCAAAACCCTAGTAATCAACATTCATGACTACAAGCCTTACTCTCAAAGCTTTACTTCTTACAATCATCATACATACCTAGATTACAAGGCATCCTAATCACATGCTTCATTCTTAAGTGATTCTAATCATATATCATCATAAAGGTTCAATCTCAAGCCTTACTAGTCATCATCCATTACATATACATTATTCTAATTCAATTCATGTCTACATGCTTTTATTCTTGAACAATTACTATACATGTCATCAATTCTACAAGATCATCTCTAAGTCTTCAATTTCCCTCTTCAAGGTACAAACCAACATTACTTCAATTTCATCAATTCGACTAGGGTTAGGCATAGAAAACATGTAATTTTATCATAATAACTTGATTTACTACTAATTCAATCATAAACAATCATTATTCACTCAATTGGATCAACATCCATCATAACCCACAACATTGAAGAAACCCTAACTTGAATTGGGGAAGTTCTTCATCAAATTGAGGAATTCTAGGGGACTCCATGGATGGAAGAATCCAGGATGAATAAGCTATCATACCTTGATTATAAAGCCTCACAAAGCTTGCAACAATGGAGTTTGGTTCTTGACCTAGCTTCAAGCTCTATATATCTTCTTCTTCAAGTTTTAGAGAGAGAAATATTTGAGAGAAGAGATTTTGGGGATTTGATTTGGGTCTTGGGAAATAATGACTTAATTGGGGTGGTTAAAGGGTTAAAATAGCTTATATAGGTGTACTAAGACTATACAAATTGACCTCACTTAATAACCACCTAATTGGAATTTACTAATATGACCCTCACTAGGTTGCCTGGTGCCAGGCACCACGGCAAGCCCCACGAGTCGTGGTCCCTACCACGAGTCGTGGTCCTTGGGCAGTGGCTAGGCCTTGGTGATTTGGTCTCCAAAATGTCTAAGGCATCTTCACGAGCCTTTTCACGAGTCGTGGTCTTCACTGGCCGTGAAGTGGCTTGTGAAGGTGAGCCATTCTTGGGCAGCCCAAGGTAGCTACTGCCTTAGCCACCACGAGCCATACCATGAGCCGTGGTGGTGGTCGTGAAGTGCGGCAGTGCTTTGAGGCCTTGGGGCATCCTTGGGCCTTGCCCCTTGGTCTTAGCTCTTGTCCTTTGG